ATAAAACCAAAATTGTGTTTAAAAAATATTTGTCTTATTTTTTAAATACTTTTGAAGAATTTTAAATGTTAGACCATGTTCAACTTAAGTTATAATTATTTTCTACTTTTAAATTTTTAAATTATGTGCTTGCTCTTAGAAATAGAAACAGTAGGTTTTGGGAGAGTAGAGGGGACTTTTTTTCTGAGAGAAAAATTACACTCTATTTATTTTTGGGCCCAGAAGTATATTATTAAACATAAAAGAAAATGAAATGGAGGGACAAAAGGGCAATAATACAAGTTTAAAAGGCATTTTATAGGAAAATAAAAAAATACACCCTGTAAGTGTTTGGCTTAAACCACCAAAAATATGTTTTTGCACAAGTAGATGATTTGGCCTTACGAGAAATTATTTGGTAAAATATTAGACCCTAAATAAGCTCAAACACCCATGACGTAAACTATAGTAGATATCGAAAATTTAATAAATGATAGCAAGGATAATCCCATAGTAAATAACAACGATTTATTACAATATCCAACCAACAATCAATTTGTAATTCTGTATCCTATGAATTCTAAAAATAGTATATTAAAGAACTAATGTCATAAGACGTCATGTTATCGCACGCGGACAATTTATATAATGGACGAGTGCGACAAAAGGTCTTATTCTATGAGTTCTTTATGCTATTTTATCTATTTTGCAAAAATTATATAAAAAAAATTAATTTGATACCTTAAATTTAATTTGGTCAAATTTTACTTTAGATAGTTGGTATCACAGTCATTGGTTTGACAGTTAATGTCAAAATCGATTCGCCATGACGTCCTTAATTTACTTATTTACAATAGGCGGCTGTTAATGTTAAAGAAGAAAAAAGGATTTTCTTTGGCGTTAAACAAAATTTATTGCCAGAAAAGTCTCGTAAGTACTAGAAAAATCATAAAAATATTATAACCAATATGCAAAATATTATGCTGTTTAAAGTATAGCCAACCTATAAAATCAAAATTTTGGGTGGGATAAAGTATCTCATTACAGCACCGAAAGCGGTGTTATAATGAAGTCATTATGAACGCAAAATAGATAAAAAAATGTCTGATTGTGCCTTGCAACCCTAATTTCTATGTTTTATTCTACACGTGTCTCTTAAAATTTACGAAACTCTATAGTCTGGAACATTAAAATCGCTGTGAGTTTTAATTGCGAACCACTTCAATTAAATTTAAACTAATTAATCAATTATTTTCTAGCGAGCTTTGTAGTGAGTGCGCAATAAAATGAAAAAATGTTCAGTTTCAGAAAACAAAAAAGTTAAATACAAATTATTTATGGAATAGTAAAAAAGCAATTTATTTTTATTTGCACTGAAATGATAATAAAGCTTTAGCAAGTTTGTTTTGTTCGCTTACTTGGACAGCAGACTTTTAATTAAAACAGTGTTTTATAACAGGACTGTTCATCCATAAAAAAGTTAATTACAAAAGAAAAAAACAGAAAATGTAAATACTAAGATTTTCTAGTCATTACATGGTGTAATGCAACTTAAATGCCAGTCCATACTTAATTTTTTTAATTAAAAAAAAATCAAGCGAAATTAAAAATAGTCGTTAAAATATATTTTAACCTACACTTGAACAATTTTAATCAAAATATTTGATGATTCATGATGTTTTTAAAAGTAAAAGTAATTATCTACACTAGTCCATATCTGTTTACCTAGACCTCATTAAAAAAATATCCCGTTAAGGGTGATTCTACAAAAGTTGGGCAACTTTTGACCTCATTTTGTTTACATAGTTTTCGGAGAAAATTAAACAGTATTTTGTTGTGAGAACATAGATAATATAATAAATATACTGTTCCAGACCGGGCCAGTCAATTTTTCAAACAGTTTAAGAAATATCTGTGTTTTCTAAATTTGAATCCAAGGGAGTATACCAGAGTACTAATTAAATACATAATTTATTGAAAAATATTAGATTTATTGCAACTTTGAGCATATTATACATTAAATATCTTAAAATCAAATAATACCACACATCAGTGGCGGCTGGTGGATTTTGGGTATACCGATATCTCAATTATTAGATATGGGACCCACACCAAATTTATATGAGTTTATAATGACATTAAATAAACAGAATTTAAATTGAAGTTGAAGTTAGCGAAAAAAAGATAACCGAAACATCGAACATGGAACTGACGACACGGTACTGATGAATGGGATACAAATTTGAGATTATAATTTGGAATTAAGTATTTTACTGATATTTTTTATTAGTGGATGCTACTTATCAACAAATCACATATAGCCTTATATAAATTACAATGAAATATATTTACGTAAGAAAATAACTACTCACCACAGTACTGAAATTTTGACTGGAACTATACGTGCATTCACCACAACTTCGCCTCTTGCATTGTTTTCAAGATGACTGTCGTACAAAGGGCGGGCTCTGTAGGTATTTTTTTACCAACACTTGAGTTAAAACGAGGACTTGACGTTTAAAGTTCAATATTTCGCAGGAATTTTGAATTTTAACATTGGACACAGAACTGACGGGTAAAGTGAGTACAAAGATTAACAATGTTTTAAAAATTGCTATTATTCGAATCTATGATAAAATATGAAAATAAATTATTTAATGTTTTATAGTTTGTAGTGAAATTGAAAAATTTAAGATAAATTGAATATATTTTTTTAAATAAAACCACTCAAATATTTGATTCAGGAGTTGTGACACGCCAAGGTACTGATGTTTTGAATATTTATTATGTTTTTCTACTAACGTGCTTTTGAAAAAATACATTAAAATTGGGTGGACAAGTTAAAAAAACCTGGATCTTTTGTAATATACTAAAATATTTACAAAAAATATTAAAATACCTACTCTATTGACTGATGACATCAAGTTGTCCAACTTTTGTAGAATCACCCTTATAAGGATAAATATTCATGAAAAATAAATTTGGTATTTGACGTAAATTTAATTTGCCTGAAAATAAATTTCCCCATTACAAGTTAATATTTTTTAATTAAAAGATAAATAAAGAAGCATTTAAAACTTTAGACCAAGAATATCAAAGTAAAACGTTTTCAGTGTTTCAGTTTAAGTTGAAAAATTAAGTATTCTTGTAACGTGGAGGATACTTTATCTTAATAAAGCAATTTTCTATTTATGAATGTAGGAGAAGTACTTAATAGAAAAGTTTTCAACTGGCGACGTGATATTAAAAAAGTATTGGGTAATTTTAGTAATCGTAAAAGATAGGTTTTATCTTTGTTGTTATAGAAAAACAAAACATAAAACTTCGCGATTAGTGAAATTTGCATTGTAAAATATTTATCTACTACAGCAAATATTTTTGTGTTATAAATGCTTATAGTTATAGTTAAAATATTTCCTTAATCTTTATTTAATTGCACTATACAACAGTATATATAAAAGTAAATTTTTCTGAAATATACCAGGGTTCCATAAAACTACTCTTATGGGTAATTTGCATTTGTTAGTTAAAACTTATTTGCTTTAACAGCAGCTCCTTTATGGCTTATTACTGAATGTATACGTCTCGGCATGGTGTCAACCAATTTTTGACAATCATCCGGCGTAAAATTATTCCAAATTTCTTGCAGGTGAGCACGCAACTCTAAGACGGTTCTTGCGAGCTGTTCTCTGAGCTTCTTTTTCATAATATGCCACAAAGTTTCTATAGGCGAAAGATCTGGACTACTAGATGTCCATTTTAAAAGTGAAATATTATTTCCAAGCTTTCACTTTTTTAGCCGTATGACACGCTGCACCATCTTGTTGGAAGATGCATTCAATATCATTTAAACGCATTTCTTCAATTTGCGGTTTTAAGTTATTTTTTAGGACGAAAATATATTTATCAGCATTCATAATGTCCTCTACAAAGTGTAATTTACCGATCCCTTTAGCTGACATAGATCCCTAAATAATCACAGAGGCCGGAAACTTTACTTTTTTTTTAAGACAGTCATTGTGAAAGACTTCTGCTTTAGTTCTAATGACTCGGCCTCGATTATCACCAATGCAAACTTCAAATCTAGCTTCGTCACTCCATATAATTGAATCCCATTGATTTTGACACCAAGTCCTGTGCTCTTTTGCCCAGAGAAATCTATTTTTCTTCTGTTTTTTTGTCAACAAAGGTTTTCCCTTTGTCTACAGATAGTAAAATTAAAAATAAATAAAAATCGTATACATTATAAGCAAACCTTGTAAGTTTTAAACCCAAGTTTTTGAGCAGCTCTATGACAGGTTGCTCTTGAAAAACATTACTTGTTGCCTGATTCCACAAAACTTTTAATTCACCGTAATTAGCCCTATGATTTTGAACGATAATTCTTATTAAAGCCCTTAAATTTTTATCAGAATAGTGAGGACGACTTCCATTTTTTGGTTTCTGCGCCACGGATCCTGTAGTTTTGTGCAGTTTAATAATATTTCGCACTGTATATCGTGACAAATTAACAGTTTCAGCGATTTGTGCAGCGGAGTTTCTTTTTAAATGCAAGTGAATTATCACTTTTATTATTTCTTCAGAAACAGCTTTTCCTCGGGACATTATTATTTGTCAACCACACCGAAAGCATAAATATATACTGGAATGTCACTACCGACTTGCTTACAATTATTTAAATGTCAAATATTATCTTTACTTTTAGCACAGCCGACTTGCATTAAAAAATCTGGCCATCCAAGTTAATGCATTTTTGTCGATTTTTTTGTATTGTATCCAAACATCCAACTTAAAACTAAATAATATACATACACATATTTTATAAAAAAATTTACAACATGAAGATTGACCAAGAATTACATATGATAAAAAATTGTTGGCTTTTCATCGCATAAAATAACAAATTTTATATTTTGAGTGGTTGGGCCAACTTCACTGAGACAGGGCTCGTATATATATATTTATACATCATGCTATACTTTTAGGGTTGAAATATGGCCCGCCACCGGTCAGAAGAGCAGTTCTTGCTGATACCGAAGATGATTCGCCGGTCTATTCGGACCCATATCGCGGCTGGCTCTGGCAAAAAGGTGATGACTACGGTGACGGTGACCACGCAGACGACGTACGGAAGCTTCCAGATTTTGACTTCGATCTAAGGGAGATACTCAGAGGCGGCAAGCAGGCTCTGGCGCGCAAGGAAGACAGAGATCAAAGAATGAGGTGAGATGAGTAAGAAGATCAAAACAGGTTTTCAGATCGTTCCAGGACATTTTTGGTTTTGTTAATGGTTTTAAAACTTTTTATATAGTTATAAAACTACTCTTAAGGGTAATTTGCATTGCTTGGTTAAAACCTATTTGCTTTAACAGCAGCTATACAGCTTCCATAAATCCATCACCTTACAGCAGCCATAAAACCTACCTTACAGCTGTCATAAAACCTGCTAAGTGCAATAGGTTTTAAGGAGGTAGTGTGCTTTTGTCGTAAACACATTTTAGCTGACAATTTGTACTTTAATAATATACCTTTTTACTGTATTGTTGTACTTTGTAAATTCCATATTGCTTTAATCGCTTGTTTGGTATATTGTTGCCTTATGAATCACAAGCATAGGCCATTATTGATTTTAAAAACTTAATAAGAAAATTATTATCTTTTGTCAACCAATAACTTTCGGATGCAAAAATCATAAACAAATACCACTTTACTGATAAAAGTTGATTGCCGAGACACAAAACGTATGATGCCCACTGAAATGCGCTTAATTTAAACAATTTTAAAGGCTTTGGCTAAATTTCTTACCCGATTTACATTTCGTTTTTTAAGCCATCTCTTATCGAAAAAATATTCTCTAGCATTAACATGCGTAAAAACCAAATTTTTTGAAATTTCATGAAAAATATTATCTATTCGTATTTTATATAAAAATTATTTCATCATGGCGGAGCAATATTTTCTAATTTAAATGTCGGTTTCAGTTATAAAACAATGTACTCTTGCAAACAACTGCTAAAAAGTTGAATTGCTTTAAAAAGTGTTTACAACTATTTGTTAAAACTAATAAGCCCTATGACTGCATTTTTCAAGGCAATCATAAAACCAATTGGAATTTTGTGCGAGCATTTTAAAACAACTTTGCAGTATTTTCATCAAAAGTATCGCCATCAGGGCTATGATACTTTGTCAGATGATAACACCCAAAAATTGTCTTAATTGCTGTGATGCGGATTTAGCTCTTGGTTGGAACAGGACGTTGAAGGAATACAATGAGTATTATCAACCGGATGTTTTGCCAACAACACAGAAGAACAACTTTTAACAGCTCTTACAGGAGCCAACTTTGTCTTTCTATAAAAAAATTTTTTTAACTTTTAACCACTGCTCTAAAAAACTCCTCATGCATGCCGGCGACATGTTGACAAGAGTTATTTTCTTCGCGATTATCAAGACAAAAACGTTTTAATAAAGAAATAATAGCGACAAAATGGTTTACACTCATGCAAATTTGCAAATTGGAAAGTAAATTGGTTATATTAAAGACGTATTGCGCTCTACTGGGAACCATCATAAAACCTTTTTGCTGTTTGGTTCTGCAACATTCTTACATAGTGGAAAAGTAGTCCTAAGACCAAATGCTTCTATGAGTCGGCTTTACGTCTCAAAAAGTGAACTCCATATTTAGTTCGTTGAGCTCAAAGATGTTAATATTTGATGGTGGGCGGTCTATCGATTCGCCTCGCCTTCCACAACGGTTTTCATGTTTCTGTGGTCAGTGACTGACGTCCCAAAGTTTTTGCATTAAGTTTTCTCGTTGAGGATAACGTGCTATAAAGTAAAATTGCTTTGTAAAGGGACCTTATGGCGATATTGATTTTCTTTTTATGTTTACGTTGTTTGCAATTTCGTCTATATTTAGCTACCTTTATAATTGAATCACTTTCTTGTGCACACATGTACGAGAAATGTTCAGAAAATAACGGGAATTGTTAAATTTCGCGGGTTCGGAGGGTCCGGTTGTCATAAAATTTTCTTTATTAAGTTGGTATACATGCCCCCGAAGTATGATAAAAACTTGCATTGTTTACTTTGTCTGTGGCAGCCGCTAAGGTTAGACGTGTTTCATGAGCTCGGCGATTTTTCGTTCGTTAAAAGAAATGGATCAAAGAATTTGTATCCAATTTTGCTTAAAAAATGAAATAAATTCTGTGAAATAATAACAAAGGCCTATAGTGAGTCTGCTATAAGTAAAACAAGAGTTTACAAGTGGTATAAGAGTTTCCAAGATGGCCGTGAAGACGTTGAAGATGACGACCGCACAAGCACATTAACAACCGATAAAAACATGGAAAAAGTGGAAAAAATGGTTATAAACCATCAGAGAAGTCGCTGATGATGTTGGTATATCGATTGGCTCATCCCATGAAATTTTTTCGAATGTTTTGGGTATGAAACGCGTGGCAAGAAAATTTGTTCTAAAATTGTTAAATTTTGAACAAAATTTTTGGCCAAAAACAATACTGTAATGATGCCCCAGCCTCCATATTCGCCAGACATGCCTCTGTCTGACTTTTTCATATTCCCAAAAATTAAGGGCTGTCGTTTTGCAAGCATAGATGACGTTAAAAGCGCATCGCTGAAAGAACTAAAGGCTATCCCAAAGATCGAGTTTTAGAAGTGTTTCGAGTATTGGAAGAAGAGCTGGCACATGTGCATAATATCCAATGGGGACTATTTTGAAGGCGACAACATTAATGTAGACGAATAAATAAATATTTGTTTCAAAAAACGAAAATTCCCGATATTTTATGAACACACCTCGTATATGCCCACAAGAAACAACATTAATTTTTTTTAGCTTCAATGGATCAGAAATTGAATTTCCTTTAAAATGGATAGGGTGTATTTTTTTAGTAAGGGTAGCTAAAGGTGCAACATAAAATTTGTTTAACACTGGAGTTGTACTTGATATACTGACGAGCTGTCTTTGCTTATGATATATGTACACTAAAAAAAATATTCTTGTATCAAATAAATTTATTTGATTCAAAACAATCTTTGTCTCATATATAACGAAGAGAATATATTCTTTAAAATAGTAAAATATTTTTTTAATTTACGTTGATTTACTTCAAGAATCTTTTCTTAATGTAAGAATATTAAATTTCTTTAAATAAAACTTTGATTGTTTTATAGCAAGAATATATAATTTTTGAAATAAGGCAGCAATATTTCCTTAATTCAAGAAAATGTATTTTCTTTAAACAAATAATTGGTTGTTTTAAAGCAAGAGTATGTTCTTTTAAAAATAAATTAGTGGTATTCTTAAATAAAAAAGATACTTAATTCAAGAATACATTTTCTTAAAACAAAAACATGTGATACTGAAATAAGGCAATAATTTTCTTAAATCAAGATGTTTCCTATAACCCAATATTTTTTTTAATTAATAGATACAAGATTTAAAATTTTATTTCATTGATTACAAAATAATATTTATTTTAAAACAATGCAAGAAGTATCGATAAAAAATAAAATGGATCTATCTTAATTTTAAGCTACTTTTAGCAATGTTTCAAAAAATCTATCATTTTGTATTTAAAATCTATAAAATTTTAAATAATGATAGGTCTATTAACTAAAAATTATTTATTTTAATAATACACACATCTTTATATTTAGGAATATTACTGCAAAATAAATAAAATTTAAAATAAAAATACGTCTAAACACTTAAAGGGGGGGACTGGAGTAATTTTAAATATCCTGTAATTTTTTAAGGATTGTTGTCTAATTTTTAACTAAACTTTATATTCAAATACTTACGGATTATTCAAAATTGAGCCAAACTTACTGAAGGGCTAAATTATACGTTGTATCGTTTCTAGGTGGTGCAGTAAGCAAAAAAATTTAGGTTAGAAAATAAAAAAACAAACGTTGAACAAACACATTTATTTTGTTATTAATACAAGAAAAATCTAAATGTATACATTATTATAAATTAACGTAGGGAACTTAATCATTATTATCGACATATTTTTCATTTAAAAAAAATTGTAATATTTTAGGCATAGAAAAGCAATTACCAATTTTATAAAATAATTTAGGGCCATTGCCAATGAACTCCACCCTATATGAATCAAAATTAATGTTATACCCCAAAGTGTGTAACAAAATTACTTAGTAAAACAAAATCATTTAAATGCCATAAAATAAATTAAGTTTATTAACTTAAAATTATAGAGCCATACAAATTAGAGTGTTAAACACATAAGATATTTTGGTTATCACTGCAAAGCCTATTTATTTATGAATAAAATAATTTTAAGGCATCCCTAATGCATATTAGTAAATATTTAAACAATAAACCTACCTACCTACACGTAAATGCGACGCTAAATTTAAAAAAGGGTGGTATATCAATAAAAACTTACTTACCTTTAATTTTTTTATAATTTCTTTCGACGCTTACCACTCTTCTAATAATTTTTTAATGAAATACGCCCTCTCCCTCACAAAGAGAAAGAAACACTGCATGATTAGGCATAAAATTTCAGAGGAACGTGTCGGCATCTCCACTCCTACACGATTTCAAAAATATGTATTCTTGGCAAAAGAAAATACTGTTTATTAAAACGAATAAAAAAATTTAAGAATATCTAATTCTTAATATAAAAAAATTAAACAAATAAAAAATAAGATTATCTTATTCTGGATATAAAAAAATATTAACAATTGTACCAAGAAACCAACTAAGATTTCCTTCAAGAATATTTAATATTTGGATTGAAGCATGCAACTTTTTAAAACAAGAAATGTTTCTTAATATTAGAATATTTCCAAAACTACAAAATTCTTTTTTAAAGAAGTTAAATATTTTAGTTGAAATATATATTCTAATTTTAAAGCAAGTGTATACACATAAATCTTGATACTAATCCATATGAAAACAGAGCTTAATGTGCAATTATTTCGTAGGTATTACCCCAAACAAAGGATCAGAGAGGCTTACAATCAATATTTAGCAAAATTAAATTCGAGATTTGACGTCCCACACCCCTACAGACACAGAACCCCCAACAACCAGATGCTCGACGATGTTCGTCCTTATCCTCCTGAAAACGAAGACATAACTTTTAAGGACGACGACGAGGACACCACTGAAGAGGACCAAGGAAGAACACCGAAAAAGTACATCTTCGACGATGAAACGTTGGAGGAAAAAATCGCCGAGGCCAATACTAGGAGGTACTTGGAGAAGATGGAGAAGATGTTGAATAAGGTTGAGGTCGGTGTGAACCATGAGGATGTGGGTCATGATGGAATGAATATGGAGGAAGAGGGGAGTACGGAGAAAGATGACTTTAGTACTGGGTCTTTGCAGGATGTTAAGTTTGCTGAAGATAAAACTGATTTCGCTTATGCACCGCCTGACCCGAGGTTTTATGTCAAACAAGATAGGATAGGTCCTCAAGGTAATGATACTTTTGTAATACACTAAAAATGTTCCATTATCAGGGCATCAAATCAAAAGATAAAAGTTTAATTTTTGTGAATATTTAGTAGTTTTTTCTGAGAGGTAAATTTTTGCGGCAAAACCCCAATTTTTAATTCTTAGGGTCCATAAAGAAGCACCTTAAACTTTTTTTTCTAAATTCTAAAGACTAAATAATTTATAATAATCTAATAACATTTTTGTAATGAAGGTAAATTCAAACAAAATCTGGCAACTTATGACAGAATCTACTGCATTTCTTCCAAATTTTAGGTTATGTGCTCAAATTGTAAATATCTTAAGTAAGGGAAGTGCTTTTGGATTTATTTACACAAATTGAATGTTTAAAGTTTAACCTGTGAACTTATTTTTAAGAATGGTAATAATTTTTTTATTCCTATTACATAATATTGTTTTTTTAATATACTTTGTATATTATACAGTGTGTCCACGAATCGGGTTGACAATAGATTATAACTTTTTATTATGTTAGGAAAAAAACATTTTTCATAAAAATCCCTGCTTGTTTCAAAAATAATATTCCTATACAAACATTTTGTACTATAGTTATGTGTTATAACTCAGAAACTAAAAAAATCTAAAAACCTAAAACTGCGTTTTATGGAAAAATAAATTCTTCATGAAAATATCTGAAGGTTTAAAAAATTAATTGTAAAAAAATATTTATCTAAAAATATGAGAAAAGTAGGGTAAAGTAGGCAGTTATCGGACACTTTATAGTTATTGGACAATTAACATTAATACTGTAAAAACAAGAGTCAAATCATTAAATGACGCTGTATACAATTATAACTATCTCAGTCGGTAATAATATAAAACTACTTTATTTTGAGTCCAATATAGGACAAAAAAGTTCGCACATTACTTTGGTGGTAATATTTTTATTTTTTTGTTAAGAGCAGGGCTGTGTTTAAATTACAATAAAAAATATTTATAAAAAGTGTACAGATCAGTGTGTGGTATAAATGTATTCCTCTTGGTTTAAAAATTGTCACTTAAATGCTCTATTTATATCCCGGAAATTTACCAGTTAATTCTTGTGTAAAATTGTCCCCTGAATCCGAAAAGACCGTCAAAAACTATAAAAGTTAAGAAGTTTTTGAGATATAGTTAATTCCATATTATATGTAAAATTGATTATATTTCAAAAACTGTTCTACTTTTATAACTTTTGACTACATTTTGGGATTCAGCGAATAATATTTCATAGGAATTGACTGTCTTGGATACAAATTGCTATTGACGAGAATTATTAGTGGCTGCTTTTTTGCTATGACATTTTTGACTAATTCATTTTTAGAGAGTAAGTAATATTTAGATAATATTAGATATATATAATTCATCCTGTTTCGGCCCAAAGATTAATGATATTTGCAACAAACTATTTCAGAATTCTTAAGTCAGACCAAAGAATTAGTAGTTACCTCAGAATCCAGAAAAGGGATGAGGAATCCGAGAAAGAAATATATGAATTATATAAAATTACCTAAAACAGCAATTTATCTTTAAAAAATATTTTACAATTTATGTTATTTGGTGTAAAGTTGTTTTGTTTATATAAAAATTGTATGTCCAATTACTATACTTTTTTGCATTTTTTTTATAAAACTATTATTAAAAATTCAAATATTCTTATTTTTAAGTAAACGTAAATAAAGTTTAAACAAACAAACTACCTATCCTTTTTATGTATTTATATATAAATAAGAAAAAAAAACTAAAATCTTTAAAACAACGGCATATATAAATTTTAAGTGGTTTACCCTAGTGTAGTTTTTAATGAAATGTACAGGGTGCTTAGAAACTAAGAAAACCTAATTATAAAAATGCTTTTTACGAAAAAATTATTTTTTTATAAAAACTTCTGATGGTTTAAAATTAAGATTTCCATAAAAAAATAAAACAAATGTACAGGTTGCCCAGAAATTAAAATAAAAGCAAAATGCTTCGAGTAGTACAATTTTTGTATGGGAAACTCATTTTTGAAACAAGTAAGAGTATTTAACTTATTAGTTTTTTCTATTGTCGACCATCAAGATATTGCCTAAAATTTAGTTGGTGAAATGTGAAATGTTGATAATAAAATATTTTTTATACTTTGAAGGTTTTTAGGTTATTTATGATACAAAAAGTACAGTTTATTTTTTTTATTTGGAGGTGTTTTTTATTAAGTTGGTTGCTAATGCCAGTTTCATTTAGTATTTTTAGTATTTAAAAAATACTGACAAATTGACGGTAATATTTATTATTGATAATTTACTTGTTAATTATTATATAATATCGATATAAAAAGATAAATATGCCAAAAATAATATAGATTCTAAAGTAAAAGACTTTTAAGGGCAAAACTTCATATCGATGAAGTTATGCCAAATGCCTCAATAGCAGAAAAAGTACATCGCCTTATGGACATTTTTGTAGTAAAAAAGTAACGTTTTTGGTTTTACAAATATTAAATCACAAATTATTTGCAGCTAAGCAGATAAAAAAATTTTGAAATTTTAAAAAATAAGGGGGAAATAAAAAACAAAAAATAAAAATTATTTGCTGTTAGGTTCAACCTTTTGTGAAAAATCTAGTAGTTAATTTTAGCATCCATTTGGTTTGAAAAAGATAAGCAATAATCACGAAACTTTTTCTTCCTAAAATTTTAATTTCTTTTTTATTAATTATTTTCAAAGCGAAGATTATTATCCGCTAGGAATACTTTGCCGCGTAAATTTACCTGTTAGACCACTGTGACGCGTCACTAAACATAAAGACAATTTTTGAACATTTTTTAGTTCACCAAGAGCAAAAAACCTCATCTTCGAAAGAGGAAACGATTGGAAAAGTGAAAGTGGTAACTTCTGGAGACTCTCTGAAAATCAAATCAAGAAGCGACAAACATGGGGAAGCCTTCACGGACAATATCGAGAGCACCAACATTTTGCAGTACCCTGGCATCATACGACAACCGGGCGTGGTCATTAGACCTCCTGAGGAGTCTACAAGGGTTTACGTAATCGCCATTGTGGCTGGTATCAGTGCCGCCGCCACTGTAGGGTTGATAGCTGTCGGAATCGGATGGTACAAGTAAGTGAAAGATTTTTAATTAATTAAACAGTTCCCGTTTGTCATAAAATTTTTAAATATCATAAAATAGGTTAAATTGTCCTAAAATGTCATAAAAACTACATTTTGTAATAGAAATCATAAAATTTCATTATTTTTGAACAATTTTCTCACCTTTGATCTTTTTTATAGAATGGAAATTTTGTTAAATAAACTTTAAGTCCTGTAAAATAAAACGCAAATGTTTTAAAAACGGCCTTGGTTGTTGACGTATAAACTTCATACTATGAAGGAAAACTTTGTTTAATCTATGGGAATTTCAAAATTTGAAATAAATAATGAGAATGGTAAAGTTATTTACTATATTACTTTATAAAAGGAAGGCAGAAAGCGCAAACGCAAAGAAAGACTTCAAGAAATTGATATTAGTTTGGCAAGTTAGGAAGCAGAGTTAAAAATAGCAAGTAATTTTATTTCTGAAGGAAATAAGAAATTATCAAAGTACCTTAACAATAAGATTACTCTTAAAAAATCTAAAATATTGGAGGCTCAAACAATGATTAACATGGGTCTCAAAAAAGCAAAAAAAAATAGTATGCGGTTTTATTTATTTTGAGATTATAATACCTATTATAGTAAGATACTAAAGTATATTAAAAATATAATAGAAGAATTATTTATTTTGATGCGAGAAAAAATATTTATTTTTATATAATAAACCGTTAAAAAATTACATATTTTTTATTAAAATAACTTAAGAAATAATAAATTCTTGTCATAAAAAGTGTCATAAAATTTGAAAAATTTGTCATAAAATCATTAAATAAAGTAGCAAACAATGCTGGGAACCCTAAACTAGTTTACAAAATCGAAAAAAAATCTGCCCACCATATGCCAGTATAATTTTCCCATGTATTTTGACCCACTTAACACGGAAATCACACAAAGGTTTAAATCAAACAGATAACTCCAGTTTGAATTTTTTTTCGTGGAGCTGACATTTTTACAAAAAAAAACCAAGCTAATGTTGATAGAAATACAAGAAAAAATGGCGAAGTTATTATATATTATAATAACCCGCACAATCTGGGCGACGTAAGTGATGAGCACGGAGAACGTTTTCCCTCATACGAGAAACGGAATACGAAAGCAACAAAAAACAAAGGAGACAGAATTTTTTTAAAACTATGCTTATTACAACAAAATAAAACTTTCAATTTCTTCAATGTTTAATATTTATTGTTTAATATTCAATATATAATTTAATTTCAATATTTAATGTTTAAAATTAAAATCAATGTTCAATATTAAATTTTATATAATTCAATAAAATTCTCGAAAAACTGAATTTTGGTCTTCCACTGAAAAATTCATAACTTCGCCATTTATACACGGATTTTTATCAACAGCAGCTTATTTTATTCCTTAAAGTATAATCTATACGTAAAATAAATCAAACCGTACTTATCTTTTCGATTTCTATCTTTCCCAAAAAGATATGTAAATTTTCGACCTCGATTTTTGTAAAAAAAACTTCATAAAATCGACAGTATCGAACTATTATAATCAATAAAGTCCTTTATTATTATTATTATTATTATACCAAAACCATACAAGAGAAAGTTGTAGAGCGCTTAATTACCTTTGATTTAAGTGCTTGTTTGGTCAAATCGATAAATTAGAACTCAAAGTATACCTACTTTAAAACGTCAAAACACCTCAGAAAATTAAAAAAAAAAACAATTGAAAATTCATATCTCGAAAACTCTTCCATGAAAAAAAATTTAAGTTTGATTTTCGCGTTTAGTGAGCCAAATTACACAAGAAAATCATAGTAAGACATGGTGTGCAAAATGGCTGTAAACTAGTGTTATTAAACACATTTAGGTACCTATATTATTGTTAAACTAATTTAAATTTCTGGGCAAAATTATATACATAGGGAGTTAGAAAGAGGTCAATTATCAAGTAATTGGATGTTAAAAAAATGAAAAATATTAAAAATAGAGTTTATTGGCAAAACTATATTTTAAAAAAGCTACATTTTTTAATATTATTTTCAGCTTAATTTTTTTAATGTGAAGGTTAAAAAACAAACATGGATCAACGATAAAATAGTTATATCTAACTGAAAATATGTAGTTTACAAAAACAAAATATAATACGCAAAATAACATACAGGGTCTGTTTAAAAATGATTTGGAAAGTTCGTCAAAATTGCTTTTTAACAGTACTAAACTAAACACTTTTTTTAGTTTAATTTTTGAAAAATATGCAAAATAATTTTTATAATTATTTATTTGATTTTCTCGTTAAATAAATAAATAAATAAATATCTTTATTGACGGATTAACCATTAGATATAAACAAAAATAATCATTACAATTTTACATTAAAGACCTTTTGAAGGACTGGAGAGTATTGCCAAAGAAATCTACATTTAAAGTATTTGCATTTCTGCACATCCTATGTAATGGTGCATAATAACCATAGTTTGTATTGTGGTGACATATATAAAAAAGATTTTTATTTCTTAGTCTTAACTGAGGCACTTGAAAATTAATTCTGCCAAGCAATTCAGGGCTATCCATAATCCCATTTAAAAGTTTAAATAGGAAATGCATATCAAATTTATCCCTTCTTTTGCTTAGGGTATCAACATTAATCAAGTGTCTCAATTGTACATAATCATAGTCATCAATAATTAAATTTAATTTAAATGCACAAAATCTTAAAAATTTATTTTGTACTCTTTCGATTTGCATACAATAAGTTAAGTAGTGAGGAGACCATACTACACAACCATATTCCAAAATACTTCGAACAAATGAAAAATACACATTTTTTATACACATCACATCGTTATACCTACATATCAAATTATAAGTTATAAAAACAAGTGTCTCGAGAACTTTAGCCCAAATGCCAATGTTGTTAACTTCAGTCCGTGACTAAAACGCCATAAAGTCACAGCTTATCAATGGTGGAGTAAATAAGATACTGAAAAAAGTAAAAAAGTAAAAGTTGAATTTATAGAAATTTTTTTTAAATAAAAATGCCGTTTTCTTTGAGCATTCTTTTAAAAGAATATTTTCTTAAAAAAGGCTCCTACTAAATTTTACCATAAATTTAGTTTTGCTGAAAAGTAGGAAACAATTTTGGGCAGTTATTTCATAAAACAAATAATGAAAACTAAAAGGTTGATAAATGTATTCTTATTTTTATAAGCACAAAATATATTTTAGTTTAAAATTTTAATGGCTTTAATTTACATCGTGAGAATAAATATTTTAATTCAAATTGCCCAGGTAACAAAAAATCACATAAAAAGATAAATATTTTAAATGTTTATTTCATTTAAATATATTATTTTATTAATACCAACTAATCAAATAACATGTAATTTATTAAATAAATTATTATACTTAAATTATTTCAAAATCAATTTTATACCTAAAATATTTATGGTTTAGATTATTGCATAAAAGCTTAAAAGTCAAATGAAATGTGCATAGAAAGAATGATAAATAGCAGGTAGGTAGAATTATTCAGTTAGGTTAAATTGAAAGGTATATATAGATGAAAAAATATAGAATTTCTCAAATGTATTCCATACCTAATAAAAATATATAATATTTACAAGCAACCGCATTTTAAAATGAGCGCCACAACAAATTACGCAAATATTAGATAAGAAAACATCTGATTACACCAACGTAGTTGATTTCTAAAATAGTAAACACTCAACGCCGAGTGCATCAAGTTGCGTGTGACCTCGTTATCTCACTATGGCATTTAATTCAAATGGTAAGTATATTATTTAAAAAAATTAAACAATTTAAGTTAAAACGTTTAATTTTAGAACACCAGCATTTACGTTACAACCCACTAAAAGCCGAATGGATTTTGGTGTCCCCACACAGAGCGTTACGGCCCTGGAGCGGCCAAATTGAAAAAGTAGCCCCCAATGTGGTCCCCAAATTTGACCCAACTAACCCTTTGTGCCCAGGCGTTAAGAGATCCTCTGGGATCGTAACCCCGGATTATAAGTCCACGTACGTGTTTACAAATGATTTTCCGGCATTGTTGGAGGAAGGCCCTGAGCCTGAGGAATCGGACGACCCCTTGTTTCAAGTCAAAACCGCCAAAGGTACTTGTAGAGTTATTTGTTATCACCCGCATTCCGACGTTTACATCGATAGTCTATCAAACGCGCAGGTTGTTGATATTATCAACGAATGGATAAGGCAAATTGATCAGTTGGGTGAAAAGTACGCCTGGGTGCAAATTTTTGAAAACCGTGGGGCCTCGATGGGCTGCTCGAACCCGCACCCGCACTGCCAAATATGGGCTTCTTCGTTTCTACCGCAAGAAGTGAAATTGAAGGAGGAAAATCAGCTGGAATACTACAAGAGGCACAACAGACCTTTGCTCTTCGATTACGCTCGGAAAGAGATCGCGAAGAAGGAGAGAATCGTGGTGGAAAACGACGATTGGTTGGTGGTGGTGCCGTACTGGGCTACGTGGCCTTTCGAAACCATGGTGCTGCCGAAAAAACTCCTGCAAAGGTTCTCGCAAACCAGCGAAACGCAGCGCAAATCCCTAGCGGAAATACTGAAAAAGCTGGTTGTAAAATACGATAACCTCTTTGACTGTCAATTCCCGTACTCCATGGGTTGGCATGGGGCCCTAACGGGGGACAAAAACGACGTCGATCAGCCCCATTGGACCTTTCATGGTACGTATTTGCCCCCTTTGCTGAGGTCCGCCACTGTCAAAAAGTTCATGGTCGGTTACGAGCTCTTGGCGCAATCGCAAAGGGATTTGACGGCTGAGACTGCAGCGGCGATGTTAAGAGAGCAATGTGACATAAAATGAAATTATGATTTTGTATTGGTTTTGTTTACTGTTGGTTATAATTGAAGGGGAAAGTGGATGAAGGGGTAACATAACATTTGTAATAATAAAGGTTAAAAATATTGTAATTGCAATACCAAATTTATTTTTAATTACAATTACAATATTTGTTGTCCCATATTATATAAATTGTTACTTAACTTCTTCTTCCACTTGCCACTTTAATTGAAAAATACTTATGTAGATAAACTTATGTAAGTGTTATTTTTGATAAAATTTTGTATTTTATATTATTGAATATATTATGTTAAGGAATTATTTCAAGTTTTATTATCGTTTATAATCTATGGTATTATGTAAATTAAGTATACAGGGTAACCCGAAATTGACCCACTGACCCCAAACAACGATAAAAAATGATATTTTTTTAAAAGGTTTTTAACAAAAATGCAGACTTGCAGATGCTTTAGCACCTAGGTAAACCAGTTTTCAATATTAATTTGTATTTACAGGCTATTTTCTTAATTTTTTTAAATATGAAAAATTATTTTAATTTTGCAATTCCATATTGTGCGTAATTTTATTACACAAGCACCTCACTCTTAAAATGCACTCCAGAAAGTATCTAAAAAGTTATTAATAATGATTTAGTAGGATTAGAGGTTTTTTTAAATATCTAAAAGATAAATATTTCTAGTGTATTTTCTTCCAACTCTTATATCTAAGATTCTGTCTCCAATCTTTAGTGTATACCTTATCTCTTTAAAAAAATTGATTTTGCACTTTTTTATAAAAAAATTGTTAATTTTTTATGATTATAAGGAATTTCTATAATTTTCCATGATTTTCCAATTTTGTATAATAATTAAATAATTATTAACGAATGGATAAGGCGAATTGAACCTAAAATGAAGTTATGATTTTGTATTGGTTTTGTTTACTGTTGGTAATAATTGAAGGGGCAAGTGGATGAAGGGGTAACATAACATTTTTAATAATAAAGGTTAAAAAATATTGTAATTGCTATACCAAATTTATTTTTAATTACAATTACAATATTTGTTGTCCCATATTATAAAAAATGTTACTTAACTTCTTCCACTTGCCACTTTAATTGAAAAATACTTATGTAGATACACTTATGTAAGTGTTATTTTTGATAAAATGTTTGTATTTTGTATTATTGAATATATTATATTAAGGAATTATTTCAAGTTTTATTATTGTTTATAATCTATGGTTTTATGTAAATTAAGTATACAAGGTAACCCGAAAATGAAGCAATGACCCCAAACAACGATAAAAAAATGATATTTTTTTTAAAAGATTTTTAACAAAAATGCAGACTTGCATATGCTTTAGCGCCTAGGTAAGCCAGTTTTTAATATTAATTTGTATTTACAGGCTATTGTCTTAATTTTTTTAAATATGCAAAATATTATTTTAATTTTGCAGTTCCATATTGTGCGTATTTTTTCACTCTTAGAATGCACTCCAGAAAGTATCTAAAAAGTTATTAAAAATGTTTTAGTACGATTAGAGGTTTTCTAAAATATCTAAAAGATAAATATTTCTAGTCTATTTTCTTCCCACTCTTATATCTAAGATTCTGTCTCCTATCTTTAGTCTATCTCTTTAAAAAATTTAATTTTGCTTTTTTTATAAAAAAATTGTTGATTTTTAGAATTTTCTATAATAACTATTGTCCATGATTTTCCAATTGTACCTATATACAGGGTGATTCAACTTATTCATTGGAAATTTATTGAGAACGGAAAAATTTATCGATTTGAAATTTGTATAGCAAATAAAACATATTTTTTTAAATTATTTTCAATGCATCAATTTTGGTTTTTAAAATAAATATTTTCTGAAAATTTACAAAAAATGTGAAAAAAACGCTTGTATTGTCTTTTATTTCGTATTTATATAGTAAGGTCAATGTCTCCGACAATTGTGTTACAATGGGTGATAATAATTACACCAATCAATATATTCTAAACATGTTTTATTCATATGGCGAATTTTAGAAAAAACAATTGGAACTTTTAAACAGTTAAACAACTGGCCGAATCTACTTGGTCCGTTGCCAGATCTAGACGTATAGTGGCTAAACTGAGTTTAGATTTAGTTTCGGCGTTTGAAAGTACATGGGAATTATTGTCGCACACCACTTATTTTTTGTGGACCTGTGTAATTGAACCAAAACAAATATTTATTCTTAAACAAATTAATCTCGCATACCTATAAAACTGTAAAGGCACATATTATAACTACTAAAACAAGGTTGTAGTAAAAAAAATATTAATTCCGCTAATATTTGTTTGTTTTTTATTTTAACCTAAACAAAATAATTCGTACAAAGGATCTTGTTTTCTGTAACTGACATTAAAATAGGGTAGACAACATTGTTGCTGAATACAAAGACTAGGTTCCTACATAATTACCTGTTATAACAAGCCAAATTCCCAGTAATAAACTTGCAAGTGATTATTTAATAAACTAGGTCAATTATTGGGAACCCAATTAAAACTTAAATTTGGCTAGAAATTCGCGAACAAAACGAAATTTGTAAAGAAACACCTTCCACGTTTCTGGAACTAATTAATCAATGTTTTAAATATTGAATTATTTTAAGACATAAGATACAAAATGTAATATCTGTATTAGGGTGGTTCTATTTGACCGATGTCGAAATTTTAATCGTGCCGCCCCCACATTTGTTTTTAAAAAAATTTAAAAAATGTATGACAAATTTGAATGTCTTATTTCCTTCGATTGCCTGTACAACGAGAAGTTTTCCAGATAGAGGATTTTTGCCTTTAATGTATTACTTTTTTAAAATTACTATTAATTTATGAAAAAGTATAATTTTTTGAGAAAATGTAGAGAACTTAAGTTAGTTTTAAACAAAAAAAAAATAAATCATGTATTTTCATCCTAAGGTCTTTTTTACTTCGCTCAATTATTACTACTATTGTTATTTTACACAGTAAAAAATTTTGCCCGTGTAAATTTTTTAGTGTAAGGGTAAAAATATTAGAGTTGATTTGTAAGTGTAAAGGTACACTACAAATTACACTAGGTAGCATTTAGTGCTTATTAACTTTATTAAACACATTTAAAGAATATGAACATTATTCATTAAAACATTCACTCTATTTCCCTAGTAGAAATTTAAATGGGGAATCAGTAGGGCGCTAGCTAGTTTTCCCCAAATGAAACGAGGGCCTCGCTAGGAATCCCTACTAGTTTCCGACTAGTCATGTAATGCTTTTCCTGGTGGGGAACTACTGGGGAAAATCTGGTAGGGAAAACTAGCTTAAAACTGGTTGGGAATATTTGTGAATTTTTTAACCAATAATAAAAACCAGTAGCTAAAATTCTTTTATTAGATTTATATATTTACATAGTTCGATCACTTTTGGAATTATTATTGTCGGTTGTAAATTGGTTTGGTATAACCTCTTTTGACAAGCCAATATTGTTTGCTGCACCATGACTTGACGTTGAATCACTATCAATTTTTCTGCACCATTGGAAGAATTTAACAAGTAAATGGATAATTTAATACAACGGGTGAGTTTTAAGTAGAGATGTTATTTTTAACAGCGTGTAGAAATCAAGTAGACAAAAGAATACTTCAAGTATCTCAAAAATAAGAGAGAAACAGTAAGTAAAACTTTTCACGCCGAAAATGTCGCGCATTTGATCCATAAAGTGCACGTCACTACTGCAAATAAATGCAACCATCTGAAAAATATTGCGCATAGGTACGATCATCCGGTAACCACTGCGCATAGTTTCAACCATCTGGTACCTACTGCGCCAGTTAAAATTCTCAATTTTGTTTTTTAAAAAATAAAGTTATTTGAAATTTCAACAAATTATGTTTGACCATTGATTTCTAGACGCCTGTTAAATAAACTCCCTTAAGTTGAAGGTAACCTGTATCTTCAAAACAAACATAATTCCTTAAATGTTTGTCCAAAAGAAGCCTTGTAAATTAAATTTACATAAATAGTAAAATTAAAAAAAAAACTAAGGTTAGGTTTAAACTTTAAAATATCTTTACACATAAAGCAATAACTTACCGTACCGTATTTATTTAAACTTGCCTTAATTTCACCAACCCATCGATCTTTTAGAGTTTATAATTCATTATTTTAATCATATAACAAACACAGGAATTAAATGTCAACAAATGTAAAATCAAGAAAAACGTCAAAATCCTTAGTAACCTGTAAACAAGGGGATTTTCCCTACATTTCCTTACAAGTTTATGGTGAGGAAAACTTGAGTCAGCCTAGACTGGAATTTAATGAGGAAAACTAGATGTGAACTAGTCAGTCAGAGTCGAGTCACAACTAGGCAAGTTTTACTGGTTAGTTCCTAGTCGGGGCCTATCTAGTATTTCCCTTTCTAGTTTTTCCCTATCTAAACCCAGCCAGCGCCCTACCAATATTGAGGAAAACTGGACAAATTTCTACTAGGGTTATTATTAAAATAAATCAAAAGGGTAGAAAAACTTAATGCGAGTGTTTATTACCCCTTGATGTGTTAAATAGTGGCAAAATAGACTGAAAAAACTGGTAATAACCGAAATGCGTTTTAAAATGTTTGGTTGGTACCTATCTACCTACGCAGTGCATATCCGGAGATACCGCGTTGTGGAAGTGTGGCATTTTTGTTCAGTTAGATTTTAATTACGGTGAATCCATAAGGGGACATTCTTAATTTTTGGTAAGTATTATACTTCCTTTTTCTTTAGGCCTTAATACTCAATAAATACCAATATGTTAAAAGGATGTCCATACCCGACCTATATTATATATCAGAAATTTACGGCCGTAGGTCGGGTACTTGTAACATTATTAATATAAATACATACACACTTAATTATTATTATTATTATTATTATTATTATTATTTACTTTTTATTTTCAAGCGTAATGGTTATTATATTAACCTATACCTACATTTTTATTAATAT